TGATTTATCTTCACCTTGCTTATGCTGCTCAGACTGGGATCCATAAACCCTTCTTCAAATATCTCCCGAAAAGCGAATGCTTGCAGTAAAGCACTGCAGATGTGAATATGGCTAAACCAATTGTATCAGCTTTTATTTGCTTTCGATTTACAGACATTCCTATTATAGTTGCTATTAATTGCAGTGATGCAAATAAGTTTCTGTCACCGCTGAAATAGATCGATAATAGTAATTAAAAGAAGATTACAATTACAAGGATTCTATGCCTTAATATGTCCTGCACAGATCACTAAATTTTAAAGGCCACTGGGTCATGTAGTTTTAAATTATTAAACCATAGACATAGACCTTCAGAGTTTTAGCTCATTTAAATTTGTCTGCTTTCACTTTCAGCCACTGGCTCATGAAAACTAATTTTTGCAGAAAGGATGGTCTTTCATACAACTCGTTTGAAAACCATCTATTTGGATATCTGTATGTACTGTCCTGACATCTGGTCCACAGTATGTGCCATGTCGCTTCAGGTCTGTGTTTCTGGCAGAGATGAGATCAAGCTTCTAGGTTTTGTTTCATTACAAGCTCAGAAATCAATGAATCTCAGTGAAAATTCCAAGGGGGGGGGAAGAGCACCCAATATTCTTCCAAATAGAAAAGGGGGCTTTTTCAGCTGTACTTAATTTGTGGAAGCATTTTCCATTTGGCCAAAAGCTTGTCTATCCACCTAGTTTTCAGAATATTTATTCTATATACTAACTTAGAGAAGCTCAAATGCAGCCCTCAGCAGCACTGTACCAGCCTGCCTGTACCCGAGTGGGTATCTGAGGTCCTTCCATCTCCAGGTACTCTCCCAATGACATGGCTCCACGTGGGGACAAGAGCCAAGCACCTGCACAGTATCCTGGTTTCCCTGGGATGTAAATCCACCCATTTGGTCCCAAAGGGAGCTGTAGCACAGTTTGATCGTATGTGAACAGGCAATGGAATCGGTGTCCTCAGGCACACTATAAACCCGTCTGCTGACAATTTCAGCACAGTGTGACTCTGGTAATTGTGACTTGTATAGAATCGATGGCTACCCACGCTATAAATAACCTTTTGGTAGCCCACACTGACAGAGGTTGGATATTTATCTCTCTCTAGTAGGCTGAACACATATAAAGGCTAAGCCTCAAGGAAACATAATTTGCTAGCTTCAAAAGGAGGTAGTCATGATTTTGGAAATATAAGTGACTGTGCACACACCAATGGAAGTAATTATTAAATACAGCTAAGTGCTCAGTGAAAAAAAAATAGAATCTCTTCAAGTGACATGTAACTCCAAGACAAAATCCAACTTCCCGTTGCTACATACTTCACAGCCTAACAACAACAGGAACTTCATGTGACCAACAAACACCATACTCCCCATTACTCTGAATTTTTTTCTTTTTTTTTGTTTTTTATTTAGAAGAGGAGACAGGCAGAAATGCACTAAAACTGGACTAAAAGTGAAGTTTCAGAGAACTCTTTAACTTTAAAAAAAAAAATCAGCCTAGTTTCAGAGACTCTGAGAACACACTCTCTATTCTGGTTCATACCTTGAAAACTGCCTGGAGTCCTCAGTATGTTTTATAGTGTCCCTTCTCACATTGCTATATATGAAAGATTTTTTGTATGGCTTTGGTTTAGCCAGAATTTATTTCAGTGCAAGTAATGATTCCCAATTACAAAAGATGCCATGCATTTTTCTGATTTCTAGGATTATCATCCTACCAATTTTCTTAAATAAAGTATGTATTCCACTAAGGATTCCACTTTCCTCTCTTTTAGCCCACTTTTCTCCAGCCTATTTTACCTTGTTTTCCTACCTTTTCAGTGCCACTTAGCCACTTAATTCCTCATCCATCACATCAACTTAGATCACTCCATGCTGTGCAAGGTATCTCTCCCTCTCATTATCTTACCTTTCCTCTTGTCACACATCCAAATCCCCCTGAGCAGACTAACAGCCTGGCTCTGTAACTCCAGACATGGAAACCTACACCTCTAATTCTGCCTCAAATCATCTTAATCCTCCCCAGTTCTCAGTTTGTGTGTCATAATCCTTTTCATCCTATCTTTCTACATACTTTCCACATCCACTCAGCAACAAAACAACGTTGATTTGCAGTCATGTTTGCCTCAGGTGGGAATTTCACAAGACTCTAGCCTGTCTGCGATGGAAAGGACACTGTTCCTGCTCTGGCCAAGACTGACTGCATTTGAAGAACTCCAACCCTCAGTGAGAAAACTCACATTTCCCTTTTTCACACTCCTTTTATCAGTCTTTCGATTTATCTCCTTAATTCTGACATTATGAGATAATGTTGAAGTACATAAGGCATCTTACACAATGACGCAACAGCTTCTGCATGAGAACATTCAAGAACCCATGTGACATATGTAGTATACATCTACAATGGAGAGACACAAACCCACACTTCCTTCTGTATCCTTCTTAATGCATGAGAGACCTGCCCATAGGGAGCAAAAGAAATTGCCTGCAGTGGTGTTTCCCCGCTACTTACCTAGTCCCTTAACAACTAACAAAAGTGTATTTGATACTTCATGTGGGGGAAAAAAAGGAGGGCTTGGAGGTGGGACACACAAGGGGAATAAATTCAGAAAGTCATCTTTCACTCAGCTGGCTTTTAGGGCTATTCACTCTGATTTGGGTCCATTCTTCACCACCACACCAAGAGCTCAAATTGCACCAGGACTTGTCCTCAACGTCTTTATCACTAAGCTCTGATTTTCTGTTAACTTCTAAAATGCCACAATCACCAACTTTATTGCTAAAGACAAATGTCCTAATCCAACACCTGGGGTATCTCATAAAGAGCTAAAACCTACCAGAATCAAGAGCTAAAATAACTCTTGTCTCTTCTACTTGCCTTAAGGAGGACACACTCATCTTCTACTGAGAAATACTCTTACTTTAATGAATCAATTTACTTATTCTTTATTTATGAAGAGTATTTGAGCCCACTGCTGCTAGTGGGCCAATAAGTTAAATCCCAGTTAAAAGAAATGTTAAAAGCCTAATGAAGATAAAGAGCATTAATATCTACAACCACCCAGAACACACCAACCAGCTCAAAAGTCTTAAATGTCACAAATGAAGACATATCACCAAAAGTTTTTAAAAAAAAAAGCCCTTCCCTGGAAGACAGAGAAAAGGGTGAATGTAGACCCAAGGAGGAGAGACTGACTGTTTACATACCTGGTTTCAAAACCACTTCAATTCTTTTCAGGGAAAATGGAGTTGGAGGGGTTTGAAATCAAGTACATACGCATTTATACTCCAACGTCTGCTGGAGGCTTCAGGCCCATAAAATACCATTTCATGAGAAAGAAATGTTACTATTGGTTCTCATATTAAAAAGAGTTCATATTCCATTTGTTTGAAGGTAAATGATAGCAGCTCTATGATCACTGGAGCTCATGATACCTTGTTGTTTTTATTGCTTATGGGTTAAAGTTTGCCACTTTAAGTGTGCCTTAATTATAATGCCCTATGCCAATGACTCTTCTCACTGTAACAAATATTGCAGATGGTTTATTTCCCATATATATGTTACAAAAAGAAGTTAAGCTCATAATTTAAATCCGTACTGCTTGGGCATAGATATTTTCTGTTTGTTCAACATATTAAAGCTCAAAAATGTGGACATAAAACTGCATTTTTTGTAAAAATCAGATTCCTCTTAGTCTGAAGTTGGTTATTTTAAGAAGTTGTATTATATTTACAACCTTGATAATACCACCTCCTTACACAGCTTGACTGTACAACCTGCTTCCAGACGGGCAGCCCTCATATGATCTTGAATTTAAGCTGCAAGTATTATCACTTCTGTCATATTTGCTATAAATAAAATGGAATACTGTCAAAAGATGGTACTCAGCACAGATACAAGGATGGAATTTCAAAGGAGCTCTACAAAATCTGCACCAAAGTCTGCATTAAAAAAAAAAAAAAAAGTAGATTTTATATAGTGAGGATATATAACTGCAGAATTTGAGAATTAAAAAAAACCAAAACCCACACAACACAAAAAACCCACTCAACGGTGTTCTAAGAAAAAACTGTTAAAATGTTTAAAAACGAGCAGAGGTTTTTTTCATCTGCTTATTGCCCTAAAGATAAAAGGCTTAGAGAAAAATTAAAACAAGTCCTGATGCCATTATAGTTGCATTTTAATAATGAATTTTCTCTACACTGACTTGTGCATGCATTATTTGTCGTAGTTATTGCTTGTTTTCTCTATTATCTTAGGCTGCAAGCTCAATTTAATAAATGTTAATACATTTAGCAGTTAAAAAGCTTTAATTCAGCGTCTGTTTAAGACAGTTCTAAATTCCAGCAGTAGCTCAAGAACTGTTTAAAAAAAAATAGAGATAAATCTCCTTCTCAATCAGACATTTAAAAAGACATCACAAAAAAAAGAGAAAATAACAGAATGGTTCAAACAGTAATCCTAGGGCAGGATTTTTAAAATGCTCATTCGGAGGCAATCTCTATTTTCATGTAAGCCAGTGGCAAATTCTCCACCAGCTTCAGCCAGAGCAGATACAGAGTTTTGATTATTTACGTCAAACCGTATCACTCTGCCCTGCAACGCATTAGGACTGCTTAAAGGCAATCAGTGGGTCTGAGCTGAACGGGGAGCCTGTGGCAGGCGGACATCCCAACTGGTCCAGCCCATTTTGATATGGATGTGCAATAATGCTTTTGGATGACAAGACAGTGATTCTAAAACCCAAATCCGTTAACACGGACATCCACACATGGTATTGAAATCACAGACCCCTCTTCTCCAACATGGGAATGCTGCATAGGTAAAGCCCAGCCGCTTAAGGCCATCCCTGTGTATCTGCATAGAGCTTCAGTTGCCTCTTATTGCTGCCAGATGCCTGGGAGTGTGCTTCTAAATTAGTTCTTAATTCAAACAATCCTTCTGAGGCAGACTCCAATCACTTACCTCATCCACATTCTCAAAGGCATTGATTATGTCGTACGGTAAACAGGACAGAAGATCAATCACAAACCACGTTTTCAGGTAGTTCATCCTTATGAGTTTGGGATCAGATATAACCTCTCCACCCGGGCCAACAAAGGTCGTGTGAAAGTTCAAAACAATGTCAACCAGAAAAATAACGTCCACGACACTGTCCAGCACGAGCCAGGCAATATTGTTCTGTTTTGTCTTGAAGGAGACGTTATATGGAACCATAATTGCTGTGTAGAAGGTTAGAATTAAGATGACCCAGTCCCAAGTGGTCTTAAAAGCACAATAATGTAGTATAATGTGTGGTGGAGTCTTTGGAGCTTCTTGTTTGTACTGAGGAAGAATATCAGATCCCAGCTGCAGAACCTGTTGAAGACAGAAAAGCAAATGTTACTGTTTTCAATTAATATGATCCAATAAGGGGTCTTGTGGATTTCTGTAAGAAGCAGCACAAAAACGGGACTGTGTTCACTGGACATTGCAAGTCAACCTGCAGTTTCTAAATTATCTGATTTATTAAGAATGTGTGGAGGCAATTATCACTTGATGAATGCGAGCACCACAGCATCTAAGGATATTCTTGTAAAAAGGGAGGTCTTTGCAGATGGACTGAGGGGAAACCATGCCAATAGCAAGGCCAGAAAGGTTTCATAAAACAGGTTGTGGGTATTGACACATCAGCTTGTGCTCTGCAGTTATGAACATGAGTATTCATTCATATTTGGAAGTGTTATGAGACTAATCCTTTGTATCTGATCCCTTTTTTAAACCACGGTTTATCCAGAACAAAACCCTATCAAAGGTAAAGCAGATTTCAGCCTTGCTGACTGACCTCCTTCTAAAATGAAGCATTGCGTGCACAATTTCTGCCCTAGCACCCTGGCAATATCATGCTTCCTTCTCATTTTCTTCAAAAAGTTGTTGCTCTTACAAGTTCAATATCACTAGTGGGTTGCCTTTTATATGTTGTAATTACTTTTCTTTTTTGCATGTGACTATGATCTCCTGCATGCACACTTTTGTAAAATGTGGAGCTGGAAACACTGCAAGGGAACGAAGCCAAATTCACTTAAGACATTCCTCCCAGCTTATCTAATTACCTCTTATCTCAGTCCAACACAAGAAACAAAAACACAAAGGAATGCACAACATGGCAATACATTGTGCTGGCAACTGAAAGATGCATGTGTATTTTGGAACTAATAACACCTTTTACATTTAGGGATTTCAAGTCTGTTCAGGATAAAATAGATAATCCCAGCAACTTTAAAACTCATTTCAGCCCTACACCTGTCCCCAACTGGGGCTGATGCAGCATATTTGTGGGGACAGCTAGATTGCAAATAGCAGTCCCATATGTGTAAAAACAATCAAACATGGGATGCTTCCTCAATGAAGAGGAGCGAATGGCTCTGAATAAATGGCACAACAACTAAGAATATGAACTCAAGTATCACAGAGACGGATTCCCCATTAATTCTTTGCAGTCTTATTTTTAAGATGAGAAAGCTGTTACTGAGATCAGACAGCAAAAGTCTGGCTCTGCTGAAAATCTGTTCTTCAGAAATCACCAAGGGACAACAACAACAGCCTCTCTTGCTCTGTGTTGGAGGATGTGGCTTTCCAGCATGTCTCATCTGGCCCAATGTCAGGCTGTAACCTGATGGGATGCCAACCTGCTCCTGCCTACCTGTTCCCACCCTCCCTAAGGTCAGATTGAGCAATCACAACCTGTAAGGAAAGTCAGTTAAACTGATACGATGAAAAACTAACTTGCTGTTACATTAGTCAGCCATTTGTTTTCTGCAGAGTCAGTTGAATTGCACTGATTTATCCTGTGGCCAGAAAACCACCAGACCCGCTACGCAGGCAGCAGTGAGAGTGCAGCAGAGACCTCCAGGAGACCATGCCTGCTCCTCTGCCAGCAGCCTCGTATCACACCAGCTTCAGAGTAACACAAAGCCACGTGTGGAGCTCCAGCCGAACAGCAACACACCCCAAGCAGTGTGGTCCCAATGACACTCACCAGAGACCCTCACAGATACCAAACCCCTGGTGAAACCCATAAAAGTATCAACCTCCAAGTGTCCCTTCCTCAGTGACGAGGACAAGACTGACTAACGGCACTCCTATAACCACCCAACGGGCAAGGCTCAGCTGGCCACCGTAGCACACTGAACTCACTGATGGATCCATGCATCCTTCCCTGGAACAAAAGCCATTATTGATACAGTAATTTATTTTTTTTTTCCACAGCAGCCTTTGTGCAAATCCATGAAACTTCTTACAATGCCAGAATTGTCCCCTGCGTGTAACACACCATTTTGGGACTGGGACTTCTTTCCTTGGTTTCTCCAGACCTATTTGTTCCCTGCCTTGTTCACTGGTGCAGGAGCTGGAAACAGCCACACTGTAGCTGGAATAATAAGCTACTTTGGGCTCGAGCTGAATGAGATCAACATATGCTTGATAGTTCCCTATGCCTCTGGTGGTAGAGTGCTTAGGAACTCCCATGATACTGTAAAAGTATAATTATCATTCTTAACATAATATCATGCTGAGTTTGACATAGTGAGTGGGTGGCAAGTGGCTGTGGAGACCACTGAACTATAATGATTATTTCTTTCATGCTGCATGAATTTTTAATTTTAAACTACTAAGGAATACACAATAATGTGTTCATCAGCTGCATTCATCACAGACTCTCTGAATTATTCTTGTATACAACTTATGAAAACGGCTGATAACAGTTAAGCCTGGTAAAGGTGGGCAGCACGTTCTGCGAGGGATGAGCTGTGATGATAACACTCCTCCTCAGGCACAGATGGATGGAAAGTGGGGCCTGTACGGTGATGGCATACCTCCACTCAGTCTGCATTCCTGACAGAGCTTTGCCTGCAAAGCATGTTGCAGCTCCAAACGACTTTAAGAAAGAACTGTGCACACTCTCCAAGCAGCCTGTTCCTGAGCATGACGTTCTCCCTTACCTGAGCCCTTCCTACTGCCTGATCTAAGGCTTCCTTGCTGTGACTTAATGCCATTACTTTTTGTCTAGCTATAGTGGTTCTGGTGAACAATTTCCTTACTCATTCTATGCAACTGCTTCAGACTTATTTGAATATTGTTACCATATCTTCTCCAGTCTTCCCTTCTCTAGACTAAACCAATAATGAATATAACCGGATTTACAGAACACTGAAATGTCATGAATTAGAAAAGCAAGGCAAGAGAGCAACTCAACAGTTATCAAAGCTATTGGTATGGGATCATTCAAGGGAAAACATCACACTGCCAGCACCTCAGAACTGTGGGTTTCCATTTTAATTTGAATTTTTATTAGCAAAGTCCACTAAAATCAGAAAGGGAACAAAAAAAAAAAAAACACAAAAAACAACACACCACATTTAAAGCTGCTGCCAGTTCTTAGCATTGAAACCAAGACAAGCTCTCTGGCACAAGGTGGCTAGGGCTGTTGTTTTCAGTAGCCCATATATTTTCACCACATATTTTTGACCCGTGTATTTTTCATTACCAACGGACATGAAGATGAAAGCACTACCCCTGTTTCATCAGTTAACCTGAAGGCATTCACTTGTTGCACCATCTGCACTGTTAAGGAGATGTTTGCAACCTGCCAAAGAGTTCATTTCATCAGTTCCGAAGGAGAAAAATGATGAGCAAAACACTGCAGGAAGGACTTTGCAAGAAAGTCAAGATTAAGGTATGTATGTAGTCAGTACAGTGTGCCTGGGACCCAGACAGGGATACATCCAAAGAGGAGTACCTAGTTTTTCAAACAATCCCATTTCCCCAGGAGAGTAAGTGACTATCCACAGGGATCAAGAACATCAAACCCGGTTCCACGTCGCTGTGAGACAGCACGTAGAGGAGCACACTGTGCACCCTGAGTTACGAAACAACCAGCAAACCGAGGTCTGCATGCACAGAAACAGGGCCAGGTAAGTAAAAGTGACCTCTGGAGACTGTTTTTCTCCTCCCATCTCTTCCTGCCTTTCAAAGGGAGAAGGCTGGTGTCTGTCCCACTTGCCTCGGCTAAGCGGGAGTGCTTGTGCACCACCTCAGCCTTGTTCATGGGCGTCAGCTGCTGCAGCACGCTCCGGCTGTTCGTCAGGGCCCGCGTCAGCCGAGCAAACTTGGTCCAACCTGGGCAGGAAAGAAAGAAATCATGTCAGAAGTACCAAAACCTCATTCATTGCTAGTAAATCTCCTTTGTGTTCACTCATATTAAGTCTCAGGCTTGAACAGTTTCTCTAAATTGCTGCACAGAACAGCTCCAGGCTTAAAGACTTAGCAAAAGAGGAAAAATACCGCTGCTTCAAGGCACACGAGTAAATCTAAGTAAAATCAAAATGCTCTGGCTTGCTCTTTCTCCTGCCTTTTCCAGACATTGTGTTAGAGGGATCACATTGTGCTTTCAGCCTTCTGGGGAGTTACTCTGCTGCTGAAATCTAATTCTAAGCCACTGCAGTTAATGCAAAGGCTTCCCAAGTCTGCAAATCCTGCCGAAGTAAAATCTTCCCCAGCTACAGAAAGGCTTCTGCTGATTAAGGGCCACTGGAGCAGCCCCAAAAGTCTGATCCTTAAGTCTTTACTGTTTCTTGCCCCAAGTAAACTTTAGGGACAAAACTTAAAAAAAAAAAAAAAAAAAAAATCAGCAAAATTCAGGGCTGCATCAACAGCAATGCTTCAGATGACAAAAAAAAAAAAAAAGAAAAAATAAGAATTTAAAGACAGATTAAGCACTAGATTTTAAATGGCATTAAGAAATAAATTTAGCTGTTAAACTGATGATAAACAGCTGCCTTAATGGTAGCTTGAGACCCACACACTGGGCTGCCCCTGGGGAATATTTTCCACAGGGTTCAGAAAGGAGCACTCAGAGTTTGCGACTGACAGCAGCTCTGACCCAGGAACCTGCCATCAAGTCATTCCAAAAAATGCCCAAACGTGACAGCTGGTGTGGATGCGTCAATGGATGAGGTATATCGGCAGTAGCAAACAAAACACCAGGGGTTTAAGCAGTGTGGCACCTCAGTGTTAAGCAGGAAAATTGAAAATTCAAATATCTGCAGGAAGGAAATGCCTCCCCCAGAGTACTGAAGGAGATGCTCAACATTCAGTTTAGCCATAACCTGCTTTTACTACACAGGTGTGTATAAAATATAAAACAAGTTATGGACAGGAAACAGCTTCAGGAGAAGGTTTTACTTTTATTTAACTTGAATGCTGAGTAGCTGAAAATTGGGGGAAATGTCACACCTGAGAAAGGAAAACCACCATTTCTATGTTAGCTAGGTTTGTTTTTAAATACCTGTTGTCTGATAGGAGTCAGGGACTTGGAAAGTTAAGGGAAGCCCTGGGGTAGATAAAATGAAGAGCAGAGAACAGACAAGACAATAAAACCTTAAGGAAAAAATAATTTACAGTTTGGTTTTGCAACTTACCACATACGCATCACATTCACGCAAATGTAAATCTGTTGTTCATCATTTAGCAATCAGAACACATCTAAATATCACGATACACCACCAGCACTGCACAAAGCATTTGTCTGGCTATTTATATATAACCTCAGAAATGCACATAAAAAATGCATTGTGAAAAGGTAAAAAATAGAATTATTTTATTAACTTTTCAAATCTAAATGTGAACTTTAGATATGCTTCTCGAGCTTACAGAGATATTCAATTAGGAACATGCACTTTCTGTATTAAACAAGGTCATAAGAGACTATAACAATCCGAGTATGAACTATTAATTTCTAGAAAAATTCTTGTGGTTTCTTCTTCCTAATTGTCTATAAAACTGTGGCAAGGAGACAGCTTTAAGACAAAAGTCAGAATTGTTCTTTATCTTTCTTAGCCAGTGATTTCAAGGAGCAAGTGAGCATGGCAACAGTGTCCTGACAGCTCTGCCCCAACACTTCTCATAATTGCTGGAGGCCACGGTGCATCCAGCCAATTGCTTTTGGCATGCTGCAACCACGCTGCAAGAACCAGAGAAAAAGAGCAGTTCTCCTCTGGGAAGCAGTCACACACCTCCAGACCCTGGGCAGGTACCTAACACACACCTGCACACACGCAGCATCCTCTTCTCCCAGACAGACACTTCCCTGGGGTCCATGGGGGCCCTGCCTGAGCAGGGGACTGGACAAGGTCACCTCCAGAGGTCCCTTCCAACCTCAACCATTCTGTGATTCTGTGACCTTTCTGATGGCTGATGGTTATTTATTTTCTGAGGTTTAGGGCACTGATCTGTACAGGGATAAGATGAGGATTTGGAGAAGAGTCAGGGGCTGGGAATGACAGAAGATGGCTTCATACACTCTCTAGCAATTATTTCCTATGGTGCTTCCCGGGTTGAGAGATCCTACTCATCAAAATATGGAGTTGAAAAATGCCTCTCCTCTTATAAAAGCAAAACTGGTAAGAACCCCGTGTCATTGTCTTAGGTAAGAAAAACATGTGTTCTGCATTAACTGCAAACACAAAAAGCTGGGGATGTTGGGGAAGATGTACCACAAGGAACCGGAGGAATAAAACACCAAAAACCAGCAATCTTTTAGCTGTTAAAATAAAAAGAAAGGAAGAACTATGACTTTTTCAAATACTCCTTTTCCACCTTGGTGAGATCATCAATGTCATGTGAAAGAAAGAAGCCACACATCTTAGGGTTACCACTCTGGTCAGGACAAGCCATTTCATAGTGTCCTTTCTCCACCAAGACCAAAGCTTTGCTTTCTGCTAGAGGAGAGCTTTTGCAAAAACCCTTTCAGCCTCATTTAGGGGCTTCACATTTTCACATTTCTTTCAGCTCGTGAAGCCCATGATTCTGGACGTTGGAAGTACAGAATACTCTACCATGACTTTTTTTTTCCAATTCAGCACAATTCCAGCATTATTCTACCTGCTCCAACCTATCCATCTGCAATAGTGTGAAAAAGTACCACATTCTTTTGTTTCCTATTTACAACCCAAGAGGATTAAAAACATAGCAACAGCAAGATGCTGGGGTATGAGTGGGAAGGTGAAAATGTATACAGGCTGCCTCATGTCTGAAATAATCTGTACAGGGTACATTTCTCTGTTTCTTGACCTTGTTGTAGACTAGATAATTTCAGAATTATATATAAAACCAATGTGTATGTTTAAATAGATCGAGGCAAAATTTGCATAGCTGCCTACTGCTGTCAATGTTTCTTCAAACGATTCGTTCCTTTCTTTTCCTCTATAGACAGATAATTGAAAAGAATGATAATTTTATCCCATGTATTAGTGACCACGTGTCCTTACAGATATTTTCCACCTACAAGGAGTAAAGGAGCAGCACAAACAGCAGGTGCAAGAGGGAAAAAAAAAAAAAAAAACACTCCGGAGAAAAAGCAACACTTCTGATGCTCTTTTCAGCTCAACTGGATTGTGTCTTTCTTTCACACCACCACTTGAAAAATAATACCCTAAATTTGCACCATTGTTCTCAAATTCTTAGGAACAAAAGCAACATAATCAGATCACTCACCAGATCAGGCCAGCAGCTGCTTCTCCCTACAAGAGGTTAAACTGGGTATTTCAGAGGAAGATGTTAACTACCCCAAATGGAAAATTCTGGAATAACATACACATAAAATTATTGTTTCCCTGGTTCTCTTTAATTATTTTCTGATTCATGGACAAAACCAGAAGAATTTGTACCCCTGCATTAAAAAACCCCTCATGATCTGTATTCATTCTCTTGATCCAAAACAAACATCTACTACTAAACAGGAGCCTAGCAAAATATTTCCCTGTTCCTATCCATTACTCAAATAAAAATTCCTGCATTCTCAATAAATTGAAGAGGCAGGTTTAACAACTCCATACAGTTACAAAAATAGCACATGAAGAAGGCACACATGCTGACAGACGTGAACTAAACGAGTCTCTGCCTTGGCCCAGCTGCAATGCTGTCCTTCCAAGCATGCAACTTTCTTCTTCCTCCATGCATTTTAGTCACAATTAAATATTTTACATCCACAAAATATTCTCCACATCTCTTTCTGTAATTAGGAATGTCAATTTGACAGCTCTCTAACTGCGAGGCTAACTGAGCTGGGGACAACTTGGTGGCATACTTTACACAATGGCTGAGCTAAAGGTTTATCTGAAGAGAAAAAAAGGAGTATTAAATTAATTTTTTAAAATGGTATTTCTTTCAAACCTTAGATGCTATGACACGAGTTGAAGCTGTTAATGTTGTGCCAGGATGCCTAAAGGAGTGCAGGAGCATGGAAGGGAGGTAGGCAACAGTCAAGTGAAGCAAAGTGCCTGAACACCTCCTTAGAGGGGGAAAAGCTTTCCAGATGGGTCTAAGATGCTCACTCAGCCACTCTCTAGATTCATACGCCACTACAGAAATTATGTGACATCTAAGGGGGAAATGTTTTTTCCAGCTTAGAACTTGATCCTATCATCCCTCCACCATCAGAAAGTCCAAACTATCTTACTCAAAACCTCCTATTCACTATAGCATGTACCCTTCCATCAGCTACCACTCCAACAAGAGCAGTATTATGTCCACACATCTTTCTTCCTGAGATCCTGAATCAATCATTGTGTTTTGCATTGGACAGATGAGATGGGAACAGCTCTGCAGCAGCTGCTCTTCAGCTCCATCCACCTCCCCACTGCACACATTGCTTACTCCGTGTTCAGGGACCTTCTGCAAACTGCCCTCTTGCATGGGGAACCTCTCTCCCTGCCCATCTGGTCAACAACATCCTTCCCATTAATACACCCTGCAGATCGATCCAGTTCACAAACACCCTCATTCATCTCCAAAACCCGGTCCTCTTCTCTGCTGTCTTCTCTAAGTAAGGAAAAATGTCATCCAGGTCAAACATGGTGTTGCAATGTATGGCAGAGCATAAAAAGGACAAGGGAAAAACTGTCCAAAAAATGCACAGCAAGGGAGGCTTCCTCAAGCAGAAGTGATGCTGGAAGCAGGGGGACAGAATGACTGTTTCCTAATGGCTATCTGGAGAAAAAAACCTTTAAATCCCTCTGATTCCTCGCAAGGTCACAAAGCAGGCAGAGAATTGGTCAGACTCCACCCAAAACTGTGAGCCTCCTGATGGTGCTCCAGTGTGTCCTAGAGAGAAACTCCTG